TGGATGGCGCCGCGACGTGTGCCTGCGCCGCGCATGCCGCGCGTGCTACTTGTGCCTTCTCGAACCATGTTCATCCAGACAGAGGCGACGCCCAACGACGACTCGCTCAAGTTTCTGCCCGGATGCACTGTGATGGAGAAAGGGACAGCCGAGTTTTTGGATCAGAGAGCGTCCATGTCGTCGCCTCTGGCCAAGAATCTGTTCGCTGTCGAAGGCGTGACAGGGGTGTTTTATGGCCCCGATTTTGTGACCGTGTCCAAGAATCCCGATATGCCATGGTCGTCGATCAAGCCGGAGATTTACAGCAACATGATGGAATTCTTTACGGCGGGCCATTCCCTGTTTCCCGATCCGAACGACATGCAAGCAGGCTCGGATACGACCATCTTGGATACCGACTCGGAGGTGGTGGCCATGATCAAGGAACTACTCGACACGCGTGTGCGCCCGGCGATCCAAGAGGACGGGGGTGACCTCGAGTACCGCGGCTTTGGCGAAGACACGGATGGGATTGTGCGCGTGCGCCTCAAAGGCAGCTGCCGTGGATGTGACAGCTCCACAGTCACCCTCAAGTCGGGCATTGAGCGCATGCTCATGCACTATGTGCCCGAAGTCAAAGGCGTCGAACAGGTGCTCGACGAGTCGGAGCAAGTGGCCCTGGACGAGTTTGGCAAGCTCGAAGAGCGTTTGCGGCAGCATCGCGAGGAGCGTAAACGTGGTTTTTCTCCATAGACTATAGGCTAGGGCGCTATAGCAAAGCTCATACGCAGACCCATGGCAGCCAGCTCCGCCACGAGGTACTTGAGCACGTACGGAACGGCCACCACATCGAGGTCGCCCGCGCGATGCACCACACAGCTTTTGGGTACCGGCACGCGATGCTCCTCGGGCACCGCAGGGCTCGACACGCCCGCTTCGGCGGCGCGACGGCATACACGGCAATACTCGCCGCGCGGTCCGAGGGGGGCCTTGTGGTGAGACGATGCCTCAATGGCCTGCACGGTGCCGACGCCTGGTACAGCAATGCCTGCGGCATCGTCGTACGCAAGCGACAGCAGACTGCCACACGTACGGCACACGTACGCGGTCGTGGCATCCGAGCAGTGGAGCAAGCGGTCCTGGAGCAGGAACGACGTGCCATGGGCGAGCAGCGCATCGCGCTCCATTTCACCAAAGCGAATACCACCTGCGCGCTTGCGTCCTTTGACAGGCTGGCGTGTGAGGGCATGCACCGGACCGGTCGTGCGCACTTGGAACTTGTCGTTGACCATGTGACGCAATCGCTGGTAGAACACGACGCCGAGATAGATATCGGCGCGCAGCTCCTGGCCCGTAATGCCCGAGTACATGGGCTCGTTGCCGAGGTAGTTGTAGCCGGCCGCGCGAAGCTGCTCGCCAAAGTACGCCACCGGCGTATCCTCCTCACTAAACGTCCAGGGCGTGGCATCCTGTGCCAACCCATGCATCGCGCCGGCCTTGCCGGCCATGCTCTCGATAAGCATACCAATCGTCATGCGACTGGGGAACGCATGGGGATTGATAATCACATCGGGCTGCATGCCACTCTCGCTGAAAGGCATGTCGACCGCCGGCCATTTTTGCGAGCACACACCTTTTTGGCCGTGGCGCGAGCTAAACTTGTCGCCAATCACCGGTGCTCGCGGTATACGGAAGGTGATCTGCACGCGCTGGCACGCGCCATCGCCCGTGTCGTTGCCAATGATGCGCACCGTATCGACATACGCAGACTCATCGCCCTTGTAGCGCTGCAGGCGCGTGCGGCCTGTGGCCTCATGATAGTAGGCAACGAGCGGCGTGCCTTTGGTCATGGGCGAGCCAATGCGCGGTAGACCATCCACATCGAGCTGCGCGCGACGAGGGTCGTCGGCGCGAATGTCGGGGCCCCAGCCTAGGTGCACTTGCGTCCCTGAGCGGCCACCGGCGAGATCGCGCAGGTGCACGACCTCGGATTTGTACACGGTGCCGTATGCAAAGCCACGTTCGTGCGCCGACTTGTTGAGAATCATCGCGTCCTCCATGTCATAGCCCGTGTACGAAATGACTGCGACGATCGCATTGGTACCGTTCGGAAAGTCGTCCATCGCGTAGCGGTGGTGCAGCGCAGGGCGCACAACGGGCGTTTGCCCGCTCTGCAGGCGATACAGCTTATTGTCCGTGCGTCGCGCGATCGCGCCGCTCGGTGTACCCATCGTCTGCTTGCCCATCTGGCATTGATACATGTTGCGGGGGCTCTGGTTAAAGTCGGAAAAGGGTGTCAGATTTGCCACCACGCTCAGTACATGGGTGGGCGATACTTCGACGTGCGTCGATACACCCGCTTCAATCTCGGGCGGGCGGCACGCAATGTCCAGGTACACTTGCTCAAAGGGCCCTACTCGGTCCTCGCGCTGATTGAACAAATATGTGACGGGACGCATCATGCGCGCGCGGCCGCCAAATAGGTACAGGCCAGGGTACTGACCGCCATGGCTCGTCGGCACAAAGCCAATTTCGAGGTCGAGCGGCACGCCGTGTTGTCCTTCCGTCTTCCAGACACGTAATACCGTGGCCATGTGTCGCGCGAGCGGGGGCGTGGCATAGCCTAAAAGGGCACCGTTGAGTTGGATAGGAACGTGGGTGCGCGGACTCACATGCGTGGCCATAACCTCGGTCATACCGAGCGATGCAAGCAGGGCAGGCACGGGCGTCACATCCAGGTCGCGCGTCGTGAGCTGGCACGCGTGTGCAAAGTGGTTGAGCAGGCCACAAGGGCTACCGTCGGGCGTGTGTACCGGGCAGAGAAAGCCCCAGGCCTCGGGCAAGAGCTTGCGCACCGTGGTCGTCTTGAGCTCGGCGAAAAAGGCGCCTCGGTGCACGCTGCGGAAGTGCGAGAGGAAACGGTAAAAGTTGAGTTTTTCGGCGACGATGGTAAAACCACCCACCTGCTGCAAGTCCAGGCCGCTGGGCGAGCTGAGGTTGCCGGTTGCAAGGAACGACGAGAGGCGCGCGCCAATGTCGCTATTCACCTTGCTGAGCGCGCGCTGAATGTAGCGGCGGTCGAAAAAGTCGCACTCGGCGGCACCGGCGCGCACGTCGCGCGCAATCTGCGCACGTACTTGGACGAGGTACTCGTCCAAACGCTCCTGGATAATAGCACCGTACAAAAAGCCGGGCATGAGCACGTCCTGGTGCTGGGGACTGTCAGGGTTGTCGGCGCAGCACTCGCCAGCGACAAATGCATACAGCTTGCGGAGCATGAACACGAGCATGCGGTACTTGTCGCGGGGCATCTCGAGGTGCGTGAGCACCAAGCGGTTGATGAGGTCTTCACCGACCTGTGCGTTGCTCCAGTCTTCCGGCGCGCGCATCACGACGCGGAACTTGTCACCGAGGTACTCGAGGCATTGCTCGCCTGTCCATAGCGCATACCGGTGGAAGCTACGCAGCAGCAGTTCGACACGGTCCGTAAGAAATGTGTTTTCCGTGTCCGATTGCACTATCGCCGTGAAAATCTCCTTGTCGGTGGCACTCACGAGGGCCTTGAGCACCATTACAATGGGCACCATGTACTCTTGCTTGCGCCAGCTAAAGCGCAGCGTCGCGCCACCATTTTCGAGGTAGTGCACCGAGTTGGTCACACTGATCAGGTCATGGCGGCCCACGCACCGGATCGACACGGCCTTGTTCGAGTACGAGGGACCACGGCGCGTGAAGGATGAGCGTTCAATGGCCATGGGATGATTCGCCTTGGAAAGAATCAAAAAGCGGATCAGCCGCTCGTTGCCGTTGATGATAAAGTAGCCACCCATCTCGTTCGGCTCCTCGTGGTGCGCCACGAGCGCCTGTGAGGAGAGAGCCCGCAGGTGACACCGGTTCGAGCCGACCATGATCGGAACCTGCCCGAGATCACGCAGCTCGCTCTGCTCCGGCCCATCGTTGATGCGCCACGACACCCGTGCCGTGAGTCGCCCGCGGTACGAGATCAGCCGGTTGCGGCACTCGTCGGGGAACACGCGGCGGTCTAGGGCATTCTTCGCGCGGTCGGGCACCATCGGTCGGCTCAGCGACACCGAGTCGATGCGAAATTCGAGACGGTTACCCAGAGCATCTCCGTCACCGTGGCCATCGAACACCACGCGGGGCGCGAGCGTCTGCAAACTGCGCTCCAATAGTCCGGCGCCCTCCATGCCGATCCGATCGGCGGTGCCCGGCATGTCCACAGATGGATCCTCAGCCCAAAGAGCATTGAAGCTCTCGATATGGGGCCGCGTGATCTCTCGCAGCGCCTGGACGTCCCAGGTATGCGACGACGGCTTCATGAAACGTCGCTGCATGTCCAGGGTATGAAACGTATAAGGTTTATCCCATATGTCATCGTGCAGTTGCTCCTTCGCCAGAAGCTCCTCGGGTGGTGGCGTCCCGGGGCCCGAGGAGTCGGACGACGGCGACGCACTTCGCATGCTGCGTGACAAAGAGGCAAAAATCGTCGGGGGCTCCGTGCTTCTAGCAGAAAAAGTGCTCGGCCGACCGCCGCGCCTCCACTGCCGCGATGGGTCGTGCGAGCAGGCATGGCCAGCATGCCGAAGGGCCGGGACCCAAGGGACAGAGATAGGACGCTACGAGCTCGGAGGAGGAGAGGGGTGCGGGAGAACTACAAAGGACACTGTCTATACTAGACAGAGGGAGAGAAAAGGTATAGGGTTTACCATGTCCTGGGGCATGGCTGTGTGTGTGATGCGTAAAAAATGGGCCTTTTTCCTCACTATGGCACCGGGCCACCTAGCGCACGCTTTCTGTTTGTTCATTGTTCTTAGATGCCCCTTTCTCCTATCCTTTCGCATCCGGCCGGTTAGCACAATTGGTAGTGTGTCTGACTACGATGGGTTTTCCCAGTTATCAGGAGGTTGCGGGTTCGAGCCCCGTGCTGGTCATTCTTTTCGGTCCGAGTCCTAGTAGGGACCGAGTTAATTATGTTCTGCCCACACCCTTTTGCATCCAATGGCCGGTTAGCACAATTGGTAGTGTGTCTGACTACGACGGTTCCACCGGTTATCAGGAGGTTGCGGGTTCGAGCCCCGTGCTGGTCAATTTTTGCTACTTTTTTCCCCTCACGGGACATGCTAGGGCCGTTGTGACTAGTACACACCTACTATCAACAACCAGCCAAAGAGCATCTGCGACATGGCAATGCCAAACAAAAACTGGATGCGTGCCGTCCGCTGTGCCTGCGTCACAGTAACACTGCTGGGCGATGTCGGGTCGGGCAGGACAACGTAGCGAAGGGAACGAAGCTCAAGTCAGTGTATCGTACGCACCAAGAAAAAGGCATTCGACGCAAACATGTACAGGAACGTGAGCCAATAAATCCAGCGGCCCAAGCCCAGCACACCGACGGCCAGCACAGCAAGTGTGCCGACAAACTTGTAGCCCGAGTAGGCCAGCAAATCAAAGATGGTGTGGTCGCCCTGAATGTTAAGCAAATAGCACCCCAACTTGATGGCAAAAAACTCGATGAGAATGATTGCCAACGCACGCGACGCCGTATAGCCCAGCACCTCAGGATGAAAGCGGCCACGCAGCCCATAGATGATCGACGTTGCAATGACGTACGTGACAAAGGCCATCAGGGGTATATACATGTCGGGGCTGTTCACATCCTCCCGTGGCACACAGTACGAGACCGGCTCGCCTGACACACTGGGCCGTGCACTCTCTACCGATGGCGGGCGGTCTGGCGTGCTCATACCCGCCGAGAGCGTGGACGGCCCTTGCCCGGGCGACATGATGCCAGTGCCGCCATACGGCGTCGAGTAGCGTAGACGGCGCGACCATGGCTTGTGGTGCCATGGGAAGATCAGGATCCGCAGCTTGTGCAACACATACGAGTTGGATACTTTAAAGTAGTGCTTCAAAATGGGCATCGGCAGCAGCGCACGAAAGTTCTTTTGGACATAGGCCCCACCGACTTGGGCCACATGCCGCCCAAACTGCATGCCCATTTGCGCCGTCGCATCGTTCATCATGTTGCCAGTCTGGAAGCCCGTGGCCCCTGCAAAGCTGTCCCACGGACTTGCGTCGCGAGCCGGCGACTCGGGCACATACCCGCCGTACATGTCCTGCTGCGGCGTGTACGGCAGATTCTGCTGCACATACGTGTCATCCATCCACGCACTTGCCGACTGGTACGTGTCCATGCTTTGAGGTAGGCTGGCCGCCGAGCCCGCGCGGTGCGGCACCGAGGGCGGCGGTGTGTACGTGGCACCCATGTCGAGGTGTGTAGATGACGACATAGGGCTTGGGGTCGAAACGGGCGGCGGCGAGCGAATACGTTGGTACTCGGATGCAGGCGGCGCACGAGCGACGGGACGAGCGCCCATGCCACCCCGCGCAGCGCCACCACGAGCGGGCGGGCGGGCCATGGTGCCACGCATCGGCGGACGGCCACCACGGGCAGCAGGCTGGCTGGGGTCGCTCGACATGGTACGTTGCGGCGTTCCCACAGGAGGGCGCGCATGCGTCGGAACGGGGCGCTGCAGCGGGGGCGCCTGGGAGCGCGCCGAGGGTCCGTGGGGATGCATCGGCGGCAGCAGGATAGACCTCGCGGCCAGCGGGCGGCGCGTGGCCTATCCTATCACGTGACACACGGCAGCCGCGGTGCCGCGCCGGCGGAAGAAAAAGACCGAGCCACCATGCCCAAGGCCAAAGGCAAGGGTGGTAAGAACCGCCGCCGCGGAAAGAATGACAGCGACGACAAGCGCGAGCTCGTATTTAAAGACGAAAGTCAAGAGTATGCCCAGGTGGTAAAGATGCTGGGCAACGGCCGGCTGGAAGCCATGTGCTTTGACGGTGAGAAGCGCCTCGCGCACATTCGCGGCAAGCTGCGCAAGAAGGTCTGGATCAACAATGGCGACATTATCCTCCTGTCCCTGCGCGAGTTTGAGGACGGAAAGGCTGATGTCATTCAGAAATACACGCCCGACGAGGCCCGCAGCCTCAAGCAGTACGGTGAGCTGCCCGAGACGACCAAGATTAGCGAAGAGACCTTTGGCGACGACGAGGGCGGCGAAATTGAGTTCGAGGAGGCCAGCGACGAGGAGGACGAGGATCTCGACGACCTTTAAAAAGCTACGCAGAGCCATAGCTATGTGCACTAGTCCTATTCTGTGGGAGGCGCCTCGGTAGGCGTCTCGCGCATCGCTGCCAGGCGCGCATCGAGCCATTCGTGCCACCGCTCACGTCGCGACGCTGCGTGTCGCGCCGCTGCACCGGTCGTCTCGGCTGGGCGTATGCGCACCAGGACATCCTCCGTGTCCTGCACAAAGAAGAGGCGGTATGTCTTCATACACACACGAATATCCAGCCCATTCTTTATGAGGAAACGCGAGCCATCCTCGTTATGGTCGCCCTCGGGCGCCGTCGGCAGATTGCGCTGGAGCAGCGGCGCGCGTGTCTGCGCGGGCAGACCTTCGGTCGGCGCCCACAGACAGTACGACGCAATGTATTGCAGCCACCGCTGCTCCGCATCCTGCGGGTCGTCTAGCGTGCGATCGTCGTGCGAGAGGAGCTGAATCCGCACGTCGCGCGCAGGAAGCGGCGACAAAGAAGCCACATCGTTGGCGACGGGCGCCACCTCGATGCAGAACAGCGGCTCGTCGCGACCCAACGTGTGCTCCGCCTCCATGCGCGCAGAAACGAGGCGCTGGTACACTTGCACATCGCGCGAGGGCGCTTCAGGATCCGCACGCAGCGCATCGAGTGCCTGTTGCGTCGCTTCAAACTGCGAAAGGAGCGCTTGCCCTTTGGCATCCGAGCTTACGGCGAGCGCCGCCTTGACAAGCGCCTGAAGCACCTTGTCGACCGTGAACAATACATAGCCGTCTTTGGTGTACATGAACCGCACAGCTTCTTCTAGCGTGTTCTGGTCGATCTCATTGTCCAAGAAGCGCGCCACAAGCTCGAGCGTCACCGCATAGTACTGCGCGGGGTGCAGTCGCATCACGGCCTGGTCTGCCTCGGGCAGATGCGATGCCTCGGTCGGTTGCGCACCAGGCACATGCGCCGCAATCGACGCAACCAGCCCGGCTGGGCCCGTGGCCGTATCGGCCAGACCCAGCGTGGCCGCGAGGGGGTTCACCTTGGTCCATGACGCGGGCGTTTGTTGTGCCATCTCGGCGCCGACGCGCTTTAGGCGGTGCAACCGCTCATACAACAAGTGCAATAGGCGCACCAGCACATACAGCGACGTGTGGCAGAATAGCTGGACCGTCTCGGGCAAAGCACGCGGCGCGGGCGTGGCCCCACTCGGCGCCACGGCACGGACATGCCACGTATCCACGGCTTGGGGTGGCGCCTCGGCGGGCTCTTCGTCGCCGGCTTGCGAGGCGCTCGGTGACTCGGCGCCTGGTTCGTCCGTGGCTGTCTCGCGCTGTGCCGCGCCGCGCCGTGACACGGTCAGCGATTGCACAGTCTCGGGTGACACACCCCAGAGACGAGGCAGCAAAGCATGGAGCACGGACAAGACGCGCGGACGGTCCTGCTGACCGGTCGAGGCAGACGGGCGCTCTAGGAACTGCGTGAGTAGCTGCAGCACATCCACCAGGACGTCAGGATCGTGCATCGCATACACCAGCTGGAAGCGCGGGACGAGACGGGGCAAGCTCGGGTCGATCGCGAGGCGGCGCTGCTGCTGTGCAGCCTGCAGCGTTTCAATCTCTTGCACAAACGCCTTGTTCGTGACCGCTTTCTTATCGCTGCTCTTAAAGTGCACGCCTTGGTGGTCCAGGGCCTTGTAAAAGTTGCGCGCGTCGACCTCGCGCCACACCTTGTTCCACTCGCGCTGCGCGCGCTTCCACTCTTCGTCCTTCTGTTTCAGGCGTGCTAGTACCACAGGTACGGCCACACAGGGGTTGTCGTGCAGCGCCGCAATGACCTCGAGGCCCTGGTCGCGTCCATACACCTTTTTGATGATGCGCTGGTAGATGCTCTTGCTCTGCCCGCCCAGCCCTGGCTTGAGCCGGAAGGAAGCACGCTCCTCTGCGTCCATCATGGCAATACGCGCGGCAATCGGCTCAAGGAGGGCAATCGTGCGCAGATTCGCCTCAATGTGGTAGTCGTACTCGTGGCGCTCTTCCTCGCTGCGGTAGAGCGCGTCCTCATATACGTTCTTCTTGTGGGGATTGAACGATTCGCCCTCGCTTGCCCACGTTGGGTAGCTCACCCAGCCATCATTGAGTACTTCCCAGCACAAAGCGTCGCGTCCACTGCACGAGAGATTGACTTCTAGCGCAGGTAGCTTGCGGTAGGACGGACCGTACGACTTTTGCGTCGACAAGTCAAAGCGCTCGCGCTCTAGCACCGGCACATTCTCCAGCACCGGGTCCTCGTGCTCAAGCCACCCGTGACGACCCATGTCGTACCCAACGAGACTCTTGAATGCATTCAGCAGCTCGCTACGCCCGCCCAGGAACAGCGCTGCACGGTCGACGAGCGTCGCCACATCAATCACTTCTTGGGTGTACAGGTTCAGCAGCTTCAAAAAGTCCAAATAGGTCGCGCGGTCGTCTAGGTGCTTCTTCACCCGCTCAAAGAAGGCCACCTCATCCATGGTCGCCATCGGCGGCACCGGTACCATTTCGCCGCCCACCATGTGCGGCGGGGGGTACGCTTGCATTCCGTACATGGTACCAGCGGGCAGATAGCCATCCGGCGGCATTGCCTCGTAGCCTGGCGGCAGCGGCGCACCGGCTGGGTAGACCGCATCCCCTACCACTTCACCGGGGCCCGGCATGGCTTGCACATACGGCGCGCCAGGGGGTGGCATCCCATGCTCGGTCTTTTTGCTGCGCTTGCGACTCGCACCCGCCTTGGCTGGCGGCAGAGGCATCGGTGCCTCGGGTGGCACACCCGCCTCATCTGCCACACGCTTTTTGCGTGGTAGCGGCGGTGGCGGTCCGGCATGTCGCGGCGCCCCACCCACCATGTCGTATGGCACGGCGCCTGGCGGCGCCCCTTCGGCGGCACCCATGCCATTCGTGACATGGCCCAGCATACCAAATAGGCCAGTGCCGCCGGGTGCTGCGCCCGTGTC